GCCTGGAGGTGGATGAAGTCACCTTGAGTGTAGAGAACAATGTAAAACTGCACTGCCCCCTTAATGAGCTCCAGTGGACAGACACATAGATTAGAGCAGAGACAGAGATGCCCTTGTATGGAGAACTCTGACAGAAACACGGCTGCGTCCAAATTCTTCACAAGACTTATGCGCACCTATAGCACCTCACCCTAATATTATATAATAACAGGAGAAGTATGGCTCTTCATTTGTCCTGGATTTGTAAGGTAACAGTTACACAGTGCGGTAGGAGCAGTTATGTTTGGCCCACAGAGATCTAAAACACGTCAGTTATGCACCAATGGAAAAATGAATACTTTAGTTTTGTTTAAATGTAAGATTGGGACAAAAGACTGTACAAGGACTAGTTTAGTGCATTAACATTACATTGATATATTGATTATTTTAAATAAGGGAGCAGAATCAGCTGAAAAAGAATGTTTTTTTAATTTTTGTGGTATATATATTACTTCTGAAATTTGAATATTCATGGATACTTAGCAGATTATTTAGTATTTTTATTATTATTATTATTATTTATTTATTTATTTTATTGTAGGAACTGAGAACAAATTTGATTTTGGTTTGGATTCTAATTTTAAAGTGAGACTAAACACCTAAATTGCCCACAACACATTTCAAATAAAAGCTGCTATACTGGGTTGTGCCTCGAGGACTAAAGGGGAGAGTGAGGGGGGGAAGAGAGGCAGTCATGCATGATGTCACATGGTACTTGAAATTGCAGTAGCCACTTCTGATCAAACGTCTGCAAATTTACCTAGTTTGCACTGAAATCGCCAAAACATGACCACTAGGCAATGTTATTAAAACACCTTGTACAGAGTTTAGGAGCAAAAACCTGATGTTCAGTCAGTTAGTGGAAATATTGTGGTCTATAAATATGTAATGGGCAGTGGAATGCCTCCTCTTTAATGGTGCACTATGTAACTTGTTATGCATCAATAGAAAAATGAATACTTTTTGTTTAAATGTAAGATTGTGACAAAAAACAGCTACAGAGTAAGTGGACTGAACAAGGACTAGTTTAGTGCTTTAGTTCTAGTTAGTTTTTTTTTTTTTTACCATAGAAACTGAGAACTAATTGGATTTTGGTTTGGATTCTAATTTTAAAGTGAGACTAAACACCTAAATTGCCCACAACACATTTCAAATAGAGCTGCTATACTGGGCAGTGCCTGGAGGACTAAAGGGAAGAGTGAGGGCAGTCATATTTGATGTCACGTATTACTTGAAATCGCAGTAGCCAGTACCTCTGTTTCTGACCAAAAATCTGCAAATTTGCAGAATCACCCAAACATGACCACAAGGCAATCTTACTAAAACCTCTTGTACAGAGTTTAGTAGCAAAAAGTTGATTTAGTGTTTAGTTCCACTTCAAAATATTTAATTATTGCGATATAGAAAATACTGGCAGATGAAACAAAAGGTTGGTTTTAGGGTGTGCATAACCTCTGAATCAGTTGTTCCATCTTGCATGAGTCTGTTATATCTTTACCATTCCAGGAGCCAGTGCCTTATGGAAACCTGCTTCTGGTTGTTCATTAATCCTCATTATACATTAGATCTGGACTAGAATTTTTCATCTCTCTGTGTGTGTGTGTATGTGTGTGTGTGTGTATGTGTTTTGCTTCCTTGTTTACTCTGGCTGGTCTGAAGCATTTCTGCATACCTGAGACAGGGTCAGGGGAACTTTCCAGACCCATGTTTTCTCTCAACATGAAACTCTTCGGTGGCCCTCCAGATCTCTTTGTGACCACCAACCACACGCTGCCCCACCCTCGCTATGCAGAAATATTTTAATGTCTTTTCCATACATCCTGTTTGTTTGATGCAGCTGTGTGTTGTTGTGTTATATGGATTCAAAACAACACTGCATACCATCATGTTATAAAAATGTGATATCATTTGATTACCAGTATGTATGACACTTTTCTCCTGTGTGTCTGCCACCTTGTTTTTATTGAGACGTTATTGCGCTGCCATTTTTATAACACACAGGAATCCTTTTTTTAAATTAACTAATAATTACTAATAAACTGTCTACAATAAGATCTGGTCTTTATTATTTTTTGTTTGCCTGTTTACATCGCTACAAAATCTTTATTGAAACAATTAGATTAGAATTAGTACCTATTTACACCAAATACTTTCTTCCTCTTACGGGGGCACAGTGTACAGTATTTTTCAGACTGTAAGTCGTTCCGGAGTATATGTCACACCAGCCAAAAAATGCGCAATGAAGAAGAAAAAAAAAATATATATATATAAGTCACATTGGACTATAAGTTGCACTTTTTTGGGGAAATTTATTTTAAAAAATCAGAGACCAGGAACCGACATCTTGAAAGGCAAATTATAGTGATAACAATAGAACAGAGAACAACAGGCTGTTAACGTAACATATTACCAAGCTCTCAATCTCACCCCAGATCACTAAATCCATTGAATTCTTCATCCTCAGTATCACTTCTGAGCAACTCCGTAACCTCTGGAGAGAAACTCTTCTGTGTAACTGTCGTTAGATTCAGCATCAGTTCCAGTTAGAATTATTCCGGCCTTTTTGAATCCTTACAGGATGATTTTGGTTGTCACTGAAGTCCAGGCTTTGTCGATCCATCCAATGACTTCCAGGAAAGTGGCATGGAGCACCGTCCTGGTTGTTACAAGTTTCTCACTCACTTCAGATTTTCTTTCTGTTGCTCGATTACTGTTTTTGGCCACATATTTTGCTACTTGCAGCTTGTAATCTGCAAAATATGATTTTCTTTTTAGGAGCAGTCTTCTCAGTTGTCTTTATAAGTTTTTTTAACTTTAAAATTTTCAGTGGTACAGAAGTAATGGTGCGATTGACTGACATGATACAGTCAAGACAGAGGCTCTTTCTGTAGGAGACATGCACAGTAGAGTGAAGTGACAGTGGTACAGGAGTAATAGTAATAGCAGATACTGACACACAAGCCTAGAGTCTCTCGCAGCTGTAACTGTGAATATTATAATATATAAGTCGCAATGGAGTATAAGTTGCAAGACCACTCAAACCATGAAAAAAGTGTGACTTATAGTCACTTTTGATTGGAGATCCATCACCTGCTTGTTTCTATGGATATGTCATTGCTGTGCCTTGAATGTTCTACAATGTGGCATTAAACACTTCTGCCTTACATTTTTTTCAATCACAGGTGGTTTTATAGCTCAAAGATGCCTAGAAAAAACTAGTATTCCGATTGTGAGCGGGGTTGCCTCTCCACAGATCTGACCTGTAACTTTGTTCGAAGTTAAAAAGGTTTAATATCAGACTGTGAAACATTCCAGACAAAGCAATAACACCTCTCTGGAGAAAAGTTTTTGATGGACCCTCCACTAAAAAAGTTACACTATGCACCTTTAAAACAAATCAGTGCAATCCCTCATTTGTCCAGGTGTGGTCTTAGGTAAAATAGTTTTCATTATAAATCCTAGTATCTCAGACCAGTACCATCAAATTGAAAATGATGTCTGGATTGAGTCAAAACATCTTGATTTCAAAAACAGTGTCTAGATGTCATTTGAAAGACATCTGGACACTGTTTTGGACTTTTTTGGAGCTTTCTACCATGTTATAATCTTGTTCCTTCATCAGAAACACAGATGAAGGGTTTTACATGACATCCATGCACATTTGAATAATCTTTCTCAGTCCCTGTTCAAACCCTCCTTACAGTTAGCAGTATGATTCTATCTAAAGCTCAGCCCACAAGCCTACATCACCATAAATATACAAAAGTATGATACCAAACTGTACACTACAACTTGACAAAACTGATGTTCAGTACTTTTAGTGGAAATATTGTGATCTATAAATACGTAATGGGCAGTGGAATACCTCGTCTTTAATGGTGCACTATGTCACTTTTTGGTGGAATGTCCCAGTGTGGCATTTAGATTACGTTTTCACCAAAGTGAATCACCGTATCACTGTATCGAAAACGATTTGCTTCTAGACAAGTCGTTTCTGTGTCCGCGCGCCTTCCCTATCTACACAGCTGTGACAGAGGGGTGTTCTGCTAACCGTGTCTGAAGTTGCAGCAGCTGATTTCAAGCCGAGGAAGATAGCAAGCCTGAAAAAAAAGCATGTCTTTTCATGGACCGTGTACAAGCAAGTAGTTCTAGCTCCACTGCTTCCTTTTTGTCTGTGGTTTAATCTGTTTCCCGCAATAGCGTCACATAACTGATGTCACAAACTCAGCAAATCAGGAAGGTGCAAGTCACAGTGACGTGGTCCCATGAGGACGGCAGCTAGAGCTCCTACATCAGCGTATCAACTTATTCAGGCCAGATCAGATCCGTACTTAGATGAATTTGTGGGAGCTGGCAGCACCGTTCCGTCTCTGGAGCCGTTTTCAATCGGATTAATGTGGACAAACACTGCATCCGCAGAAAAAGACTCGGAATACATACTAGTGTAGATGGGGCCTTAATGTATCCATCTTGCATTTACTCAATAACGTGGGTTTTTAATGACTTAAAAACTTGCATTCTTACTGTGAGTGGGCTAGCCTGTCCACAGATCTGACATGTATGTATCTATGGAATGACCTACTGCCTTTGTAGAGATAAATAAGCTGTGAAACATTCCATGCAACATCTCCATGGAGAAAAACGGCTGATGATGAATATTATTTTAAAGTATCTCTTATATAGGTACAATTTCACTATTGTACTCACCTCTGTCTACTACATAAAGTATGGCAATGTAGTTTTTTGATATCTGGCTCTTTGCAAAGTACACGCTGTACGTTGTGATTTATGCATTTTGCTTTGGCCTATGTGTAAAGCAATATATCTCCTTCTTCTTTTTGTATTCTTATCTCAATCCCTTCACACCTGACATACCTCCCCTCTTGGCCTCGCATCATGTTTTGGCCTTTTCTCCCCATCTTTATCACCCTCATAAATAATTTTTCTCTTCTGTTTTCCAGGGCCTTATTTCATCCGTCTAGAAGCTCCCATGAACAACATAACCACGTCTCTGGGCCATACTGCTGAGCTTTTTTGTAGAGTATCTGGCAACCCACTCCCCACAGTAAAATGGCTGAAAAATGACGCTCCAGTTGTACAAGAGCCACGCAGGGTGTCGTATCGCTCCATGCCGTACGGATCAAGACTACGGATACGCAATCTGGATACCACGGATACGGGATATTTCCAGTGCGTGGCAACCAACAGTCACGGAACAGTGTCCACAACGGGCGTGCTGTTTGTCAAGTTTGGTAAGAGTTTATAAATGTTTTCATTATTTTTGTTTGAGCCTTAAAGGTCCTATATTACGCAAAAATCACTCATGTCATCTATAAGACGTGTTAGAATCTTGTTACCTCACCTCATCACTAACATACCTGGAGTTGTTTCATTTCATTCATTTATGCTTGAGTAATCCTGCATTATTAGTCTGTCTGTATCGCCACAGCTCGAAATGCTCTGCTTCACCTTGTGATGTCATGCAGTAGTAGTTTTCAAGTTGACAGCGACTTTTGTTCAGTAGAGATAGCCAGTTTCATTCATGTGTGTTAAACATGAATGAAACAACAACAACTCCAGGTCTGTTTTTGATGAGGAAACAACATTATCAGTAGATTCGGAAATAGCATGATGTGGGTCCTTTAAAGATGTACTGCAATGAATTCAAACTTGCAGTTTTAATACCCTCACACTCTCCTCGGGGTCACATTGACCTGAAGAATTTTTTTTTTCCTTCCCGCTCTCTTGGAGCGGGTCAGTTAGACCCAAAAATATACACTGAAAAAAAAAGGTTGCTGGATTTGCATAAAAAAGTTATGGAAAGCGGTTGCATGCAATAAAATTATGTTTAGGCTTTGAAACTTATTTCGATCCCCTCTACACATATTTTTACCAGAACATGAATGTCACTTTTTCATGTTGATGAAATTTGATCAAGTCATGCTGAATATGCATATTTATCTTATGGTACCTTATCATGAAATGTATAAGTATGTATAATTTAATTTAATTGATCTAATTCTGTAAAAGAATACAAAAACAGTCTTTAGTTTTCCACAGTTCTGTATTGTCTTAAACAGAATCAAACACAAAGAGAGCACAGGGACTGAGATACACAGTTTGGAGCTGGACAGTGTGAAGACGCTCTGGTCTCTGCCTGTGGACACAGAAATAACACATGATGATTACATTCTGATGATCTACTCTGTTGTACATGTTTAAATACATTCAAAGTACCTATAATGGACCAGAACAGAATCACAAGAACATTAGAACTGTATCTGCAGAAACAAAACTCACCATGTGCTGCTTTTCTTCCTCTAAACGCAGTAACAGGAAGGGCATCTGGTATAAAGTCTCCTAGTGCCACATCACCCTGTAGAAACACGATAACTGTTTCAATAGGAAGTTCATTTTGAAAAATTTAAAAATAATTTTAGTTTACTTACTTTGTTCATCTGTGGTCTGTGTTTTGTTGGTTCTCAAACATCTTCCTTTTTTCTGAAACATCAACTATAACATTCATGAACTTCCCCACAGCTCCAGCAGAGCTCTGGACGTCACTCTTTGTAGACGACTCTGGAAGCAACACATTCAAATCTTAGTACAACTGTCACACTCTTGTAGATGGACAGTCAAAGACAATTTGTTTCAAGGAAACAGTCCTTACATTAACTCTAATTTCAAATAAAACACCACAAACATGTTTTAACAATGATGACATTCTAGGCCGGAGAAGCACATAATAAAATCTTTGAAAAGTCTTACCTCCAGATCAGCTCTCATAATCCTCCTGCTCCACACTATGCATGTCCTCTGCTCCTGTAACTGTCCTGTGTCCTGTTACATTTGAATTTTCCCTCCAAAAGTTTTGGGGAGGAGAATTCCAGAGGGAGGAGCCTCACCAGAGATTATAATAAAGTCATGTTTCCTCAACCTGATTAAAACCTGCAGGTCTCACATCGGCCACAATCAAGTGACCTTTGTAAGATTTAAACATGCTGGACAGAGAAACGTAAAAAAGTCATGTTATTGTTGTCAAATTTGTTTTTGCAATTTGAGCAACCCCTCTCAGACCATTTTTTCAGTGTATTTTCTCGCCTGGCGAGAATTTATTTGAAAATAAATTTTTGGGTCTGATTGACCCGCCCCAAGAGAACGGGAAGGAAAAAAACTATTTCTTTGGGTCAGTGTGACCCCGAGGAGAGCGTGAGGGTTTTAAAGGGACATTTTGGAATTTTGGACATAGGGCCTCATTTCCTAGTGGAAATGAACAGATTGATATATGAAAAAGCGGACCAGCGGACTGATATATGAGAAAATAGTCCCTCAACATGCGATGATTCATGTAATGCAAGGTTGGTTTTACTTCTAAAATTATTCTATCAACACAGACATTTACATCAACAGTCTGACGTAATAATAATAGATAATAGATTTGCTTCAGGTGTTTTGTGGAGTGCGTAAGTGTTTTTAGTGGCAGGCTAACTATGGTCATTGACACGCACTAGCCTAGCACCAGTGACCTCTGCAAATACAAGGACTGGATGGAATATTTAAAAAAGTGTCTCCACACGTCTCCAACACTCTGGCTCACTAGGAAATGAGGCCCTATGCCCAAAATTCCGAACCGTCCCTCTAATGGTTGCAATTAGCAAGACATCATAACATAATCGTCTTTGCAAAAACAAAATATCTCATGTTATATTATGAAAAAAATCTGACATAATACATAATTCTTATACTCAAATCTAATGGCAATCACAATCCTTGTCAGTAAAAAGGCTTTTAGTCATTTTTCTGAACTCATTCAACCCTTCTTTTGTTTGCATTCAGTCCAAAATAATTAGGAAGCAAATGGAGTGGTACACTTTATATGCCCAGAATTTGCAACACATTTGGCATTTTTAAATATTTGGAAACCATTTCAAAATAAAATTCACTCACTCAGTTCCAGTCATAAGGATTTTTATTACTTTTCTAGTGCAAAATTAATTCATGTTGACAGTAATGTGTATTAAAGTGGAAATTTTATGAATGGGAAAAAATTGGAGGAGAGGGAAAACGGCCAACTTGAATTCACTGGAGTTTGAAGAAGGTTCAGTCTGTATATTATTAATATTAGATGTACACGGATCATCAAGAACACTTCCTGATAGCACCAATTGAGATGCTATCGTCAAATGCTTTATTATTGTCAATTATACTTTAAAATATTTCAGTTTTTTCTACCATTTTTGTTTTATTTACTTTGATAATTACTTCAAAAATCTCCAGTTTGCACTATACGAGAGTTGATTTTTTTGCTGGTGTTGCAAACCTTGACATCTATTTTCCTATTTAACTTTTCCTACAACACATTTGGCTGCACACAGAAGGTCTCCCACAGACTTCTGCTGGTAGTTGGCAGCTCCGTGTGTTCAGAAATCTGGGAACAATATAGAAGATCCTGTGCTCAAAATCCTCTGTCTTCTGTTTCAGATCCTCTCCCTACACCTCTGCCAGGGCGTCCCACGTAAGTCTGTCTATTTCTGCTGTCTCCCATGGGTGCAACATGTAACTCATCAAAGTGTGATTGTAAACTACTACCAGGGGTTTAGCAGTTTGGCTTTAGTGTCTTCTGGTCCAGTTGTATAATCAAATAGGGATAGTCAGTGTATTGTGCTACAGAACAGAATAATCATACTAGTTCAACCCAGGCAGCTCATCATATTAGGATTACTGCAGCTACAGTTTAGACCACAAAATGTCTGATTTCTGTCTTTGTGTGAATCAAATAAAAACGGAAATTATTTGGTGGAATCACAATAATATATCTACCATCTTCCTGTGCCTCTGTGCCACTGGTCTCTAGTCGTTCCATTGTCGTCCCCCAGGCCTGTGCATCCGTCTCATTGTTCTTTTTAGAGTTTCTTTGGAACTTCCTTTGCGTCTTCTATTTGTCGGTGATCGTCTCCAGGCTTGTAGGGGGATCATGTGGTTTTACATCCTCATTACATCCTCCACAATATGACCACCTTCTTCTTCGAGCTTTCACCACCTAAAAACAAGAATCTGGAAGCTAAAGGAGAAAACCCTAAAAGAAAGTCCTGGTTCTCCTGGCAAGGGTTCTCACAATTATATCACATTATTCTCTATTAAAATTTAGCTTTAGTTCCTTTTTAATAAGGGTGGGATGAGACAGGAGATCGGGTCCACAAGAATGAGACAAGACATGATTCATAATAAATGCATACATACAGTTCACGATTTTGGCCTCACCATTTATGATTTATGCTATTTAACCGTAGCGTGCGGTGACTTTTATGGGTATGCAAGCAGACTTAGGGTGGACATTAATATTTGGTTGATAACAATTTAATAACTCCACTTTTTATACATATTACATTGCAAATTAGTATATTTATTTTACTGACATATGAAATACATATCTACTGAGCAACTCTGGAGTCAAATTAGAGAGACCTAGACCTACATAGTTTATTAATATTTGTATATATTAGACTGAATTTGATACCCTGTTCATACAAGATGTATGACAGCTCTACTCGTTTTTAATGCACGTACTACAAAAAATGTACATTCATGAAGAGATATGAATAACGACAACAGTGCACTGGTCAGAAAGATGCAGTTATAATACAGCTTCACTTATAATACAGCCTGATGTGTCACAAACGTCCCCTGTGTCAGAACAGTGCGCTCACACTCACCTCTCACAGATGCAAATGAAAACCACACTTGAAGAAATGTCCTGTATTTCCCCGAAGATCCAGAACACACGCATGTTCCTCCACACGTTTGTAATAGTGACACTGTCGCTCCTTCATAAACACACAGACTAGGTGGTTTCCTCACTGTCCCGGCCACTCTAACTCCACTCTCTGTCCGGATCCTCCATTTCACACAAACTAGCCCTGAAACTAGCTCACTGTTTGATTAAATGATGGGCTGTATTTCTAATTAACATCTAATCATTGCAAACACAAAACTATTTATTTTTAGACACTTGTGTTAAAATTTGGCGCTGTTGTTATCATCTCCTGCTGCACACGCACACTTACTTGGAATCGGAGCACATGTTCAATTCCCACGGATGATGATGTGGGTTTATTCAGTGCAGTTTGAGCCGGCTGCCCTCATTACGCATGCACAAACCACTAAAACAACCAGCTGGCCTCCATGGTTGTAAGAGCACATGTAGAAAGCCACGCTCTCAACATAGAAGGGCAAAACAGGACAGTCTGCTCAGTGACCAGTAGATGTAGTAAAGGACACTGTGACTTCAACCATGTGTCAAATAGACAGAAGTGAAGTGAAAACTGGATTATTTGGTGATAATTTGAAACAATTTAATTATATATTTTGACATGCAACAATTTTAGATTTTATTGGGCAACCACTGCTTGCATTAATTGCCCTGACCACACGCCACTGCTATTTAATATTTCCGCATCTGGTCATTGTAGCACTTTTTTTTTTTTTACTTTTTTCCCAGCTTTATAGGAAATTCAACTTGACACCATTTGACGCTTTTTTGTCCAATCCAAATGTAAAAACACGGGGGGAAAATGTCAAGACAAAACAAGATTTTTCTCCTGTGTGCACAATCTCATAGCAAGTTTGTCTCGCGAGATCTTGTGGTGCGAGATCGTGTCCCATCCCTACTTTTCATGATGATTTAGTAGCTAGTTTACTAACTAAATAGTAAACTAATTGCTAAATCAATTTGCTTGTTTCAGTTTGGTTGTCATCTCTTTGGCATTTTTACATTATCAGTCCAGACTCTGTTGTAAGCTTTCAGCCTCTCTCTCTCACTTGTTGACAGGACACCAGAGGATCTACAGTGAATGAGTCAGGCCTATTATTTCCTGTTTGAATGCAGCAGCTGGTGATTAATATTGGATATGAGGCTGTAATGATGTGTTTTGGCCGACCACCACGTCTCACATGGTCCACATCTGAGCCTTTGTACTCACAAGTTGGCCCACTTTTAGCACAGCACAATCAGTAATGGAAGAATTTATCAAACCAGCTCTTAGAAATATAAATTGCTGTTTAAAAATGCAGTTCAAAAGAGTCTAACATATTTCAATACAATAGGCTATAATGTGATAGTACGTCCTTCTTGATCATATCTTCTCAACTCCGCTTCATTACCAAGCTACCAATAGATTAGTAGTAAACTAAGACTACGTTCAGACTGCAACCTGAAGTGATCTAAATCCAATTTTTTCGCCCCCATGCAACCTGTATATGATCTTTTAATGACAGTCTGAATGACACAGATCCGATTTTGTCAAATACGACCCAGGCCACTCGGATATCTGGTCCTAAAACCGATACATAATCCGAATTGAGCCCCGCAGTCTGAACATAGCCTAAGTCACTTTTTTCATTCTTGACTCAGAGGTATTGGAATCTTAAAATGCTGTAACATTTTTAATAGAATTATTCATATTAGTACATCAGGATTTCTCAGTCAAATTGCTGAAACTATGATGTAAAATTATGTGGGAATATATTACTTAAATTTTCTTCTACTCTGCATCTACAAAATATGCCAACATGTTGAAGTAAAAGTAGGCCACAGACCACAGACTGGTTGAGAACTACTAATCTTGAAATTGTAATATAAATGAAGCAAAATTACATTTTCATATTTTATTACTCTATATACCTAAATGTATTGCATTGATTAAGGGCATGGTCAAGATTTATTTATAAAGCACATTTAAAAACAGACAGAACAGCCACGATATAGATAAAAAACGAAATATGAGTAAAACACAAGTAAGCACAATCAAACAAGGTTAAAAACACAGATAAAGCTATAGAAAATCTACTTAAATATCAGCGTAAATAAGTAGCAGAGATTTGAAACTCTTAAGGCAATTAGCAGCTCTGATGTGTAAAAACAGGCCGTTCTACATTTCAACATCTGTTTATATCACAATAAATTTACTTTTGCATTAAGAAAGTTTAATCTCACAACCAGGGGTGTACGCAGGGGTACGCAGGGATACGTCGTCTACCCACTTCTCCTGATGTAAGATGAAAAAAATAACAAATATAAAATAGCCTACAACTTATATGTCAAACTGAAGCTATTGGCAATGGTGAAAACAACCTGCATAGGCTCATGATATCTCCAGGACTGTCCTATAGTGACCTGAAACATGAGGGACCAGGACTAGAACAGGACTAGAACAGAACTGAACCAGGACTGAGTGTCTGGACAGGCCCGGGCGCGCCTCTGTAGACTGTCAGGTGACTGCAGGTGAAAGGACCATTGCCTAATCTTGCTTTGTGGACACCCTGCTCCACGGGCTTGGGGTTTTCCCCACTTGCTCTCAAGTCCAATATTAGTCATGATTTAGACCTGGTGTAGTCCTGGTTCAGTCCTGGTTCAGTCCTGGTTTAGACCCGGTTCAGTCCTGGTTTAGACCTGGTTTAGACCTGGTGTAGTCCTGGTGTAGTCCTGGTGTAGTCCTGGTGTAGTCCTGGTGTAGTCCTGGTGTAGTCCTGGTTCAGTCCTGGTTCAGTGCTGGTTCAGTCCTGGTGTAGTTCTGGTTCAGTCCTGGTTTAGTCCTGGTCCAGTTCTGGTTCAGTCCTGGTGTAGTTCTGGTTCAGTCCTGGTTTAGTCCTGGTTCAGTTCTGGTTTAGTCCTGGTTCAGTTCTGGTTTAGTCCTGGTTCAGTTCTGGTTTCAGTCCTGGTGTAGTTCTGGTTCAGTCCTGGTGTAGTTCTGGTTCAGGCCCGGTTCAGTCCTGGTTTAGTCCTGGTTCAGTTCTGGTTTAGTCCTGGTTCAGTTCTGGTTCAGTCCTGGTGTAGTTCTGGTTCAGTCCTGGTTTAGTCCTGGTTCAGTTCTGGTTTAGTCCTGGTTCAGTTCTGGTTCAGTCCTGGTGTAGTTCTGGTTCAGTCCTGGTTTAGTCCTGGTTCAGTTCTGGTTTAGTCCTGGTTCAGTTCTGGTTCAGTCCTGGTGTAGTTCTGGTTCAGTCCTGGTGTAGTTCTGGTTCAGGCCCGGTTCAGTCCTGGTTTAGTCCTCCTGGTCCAGTCACGAATCCCCACTACACCCCTGCTCATAACTCTGTCCACATACTAGGAGTTGTAATGTTTTAGAATGAAAGAAAATGAAGGATTTTACTTTACTTTTGCTGTGAATTAAGTCGTGAGTCGTGAATCGTTCAAATCTATTCTTCTCACAATTATACCACTAAAATTTGAATCATGACATCCTTACTGCTCAGACTGCCTTTCTAATATAATCATACTAACCAAAGTCTGACAGATGACATACAACCTCATAAAACAGAAGAAACAAAGCCCCCTGGTGTGTCCATTTTGTTTTGGCAGTTTATCTCCCCTCAAATCCCAAATATTTCTTAGTTCTTTAGTTCTGATGTCTTCCTGCTGTTCTAGACTTTCTGAACTTTATTAGATTGTGTGTGGATCAAAGCGGTTGGCCTGGATGGTTTTCACAAATGTCCCAATGTTGAGACTTAGTGCCAGGTCCC